AGGGAAATTCACGTGATTACTTAATTATCTTTCAGTGGATGGAAATATAAGGTCTGGTAATTTAAATATGTGCTCTTGAAATGTACATAAACATGGTATAAACTTTTATAAACAAATTTAAAGTAGAATTTTGGTTGAGTCTCTTATTTCATGCAGTGGTGAGCAGTTTAAGTACAAGAACCAAAAATAGGGACAAAATAAATTAAAAAATATTATCTGTATTAAATAGTGTTCCTACTTCAGGAGAAACAGGTCTTTCAGAGTGAGTTTTATCTCACCTAACTTCAGTTAGTTGTCAAGATTCCCTCCATAGCTACTTCAGAAAGACAAACCATCCTCTGGAGTAGCACTTAGAGAGCTATTGCAGCATGAGATGACTTGCCGTGTCAAGCAATGTCTCTCTTTCCAGTGAGTGTGGGGGAGTGAAGATAATTTACTTAGATTATATACTGAACTTTTAGAAATTTAATATTAGGTGAGAGGGAACACACTTTTATTGTATTACCAAAGCCAGTCTATTGTGTCACAGGAAGCAAAGAGCCCATTAACTTGTTGTTCCCACTCTTTCTTTAGAGTTCTCTTTGACAGTTAGGGTGGTGGGATTCTGCATGAACCATTCTTTTTCCCTCTGTCTGGGAGAATTCCCAGGTGACATTGCCTCTTTTAATGACACTGGCCGTGTCCTGGCTCCATCCTTCAGGAATAGGTGGTAAGACAGTATTGAAAAAGCATATTAGATTTTAATAATTGGTTGAATCCTAACATCTTTGATTTGGTATGGGGGATGTCAAGGTCACACAGTAGAAGCTGGGAGACTTTCTACAGGAGAGGTACCAACCAGCAAGAATTGTCTTTTTACTTAACACTTAAAATATTACCACATATTATGCAGCGCATAAGGCAGTTTATAAGAAGTTGTCATCTTCTGTAATATCTTTTGTCTTATTCAAAGGGAAACCAGAAATTTCACAATAATTTGTATTTCTGACACCCATATAGACAGCTCTAAATGTTCGTATTCAAAATGCTTACTCAACAACAAATTCACAGTTCATTGAAAGGTAAATGTATTCATCTTCTCCCGTAAGTGGATGACAGGAAGGTGTTGGAATGGCTTACTTGTAAACTGTGTTTTGCATTTCGTTACAGCCAATAACTCTGGTGTGAACAAACGGCAGATCACAGACCTTGTGGATCAGAGCATCCAGATCAATGCACATTGCTTCGTGGTCACAGCAGATAATCGCTACATTCTTATCTGTGGTTTCTGGGACAAGAGCTTTCGAGTTTATTCTTCGGAAACAGGTGACCCTAAATACCTGTTTCTTCTAAGTTCACAAAGTGGATGGTTTTCTTAATACTACCTTATCTAATGCCTATGCTTCCCCCTCAATAAATTATAGAGAGTTTGCAAAATCCTTCATTATTGTTTGATCATAATAGCTTTAAGCTGCTTTTGAAGACAAAAGCAAATGTAAAGGCATAAAATTTTATTTTAAAACTTTTAAACTTTTTAAAACCATAATTAAATTCACAGAATCACTCATTTCAAAAGGTTCTTCCAAAATACTCATTGCCATATTTTCATAGCTATATTGTTTCTATCTCTGTTTATTTCATGTAATAAGGAAGTAGTTTGGATAGCCTGCTACTAGGAACCAATATTTTGTTTCTTTGTCTGATTGCTTAGCCTAATAGCGTTCAGTGTATTGCTAAACACTGATTGAAGTAATAGAGACAGGGTGATGGTCATAGTGAACCTTGACAATAACATGGAACAACTATACATTTTTAATATAACAATGTAGCACCATTATGAGAAAGTTAATCTGTTGTCTTATGCATATCATTCACAAAATTCACAAATAGTGTTCTAACTCAATTACTTCAATGTTGATGGAGCAGTAACTCCACTTAATATTCAGTGACTGCAGCACTGACTTGATTTTCAGAGATAAGGGTTAGGCTATGGATTGACACAGAATGTAGCCCTCAATAGGAACATGAAAAGAGAAAAAAAATAAGTTTTATCCTTGTGATTTTTTTTCTTGCTGTAGCATGTAGATAAATCTATTTAAAGGGACATGAGGCAAAAATCACATCTGAACTGAAAATTTGTAAATTTTTTAGCCAATGACTAAATACTGCAAGTACTTAAAAAGCCTGAATTTCTGTCACTGTGCACTCCCACCAGGAAAATTAACTCAGATTGTGTTTGGCCACTGGGATGTCGTGACTTGCCTTGCCAGATCAGAGTCCTATATCGGTGGTGACTGCTATATCGTGTCTGGGTCTCGTGACGCTACATTGCTGCTGTGGTACTGGAGTGGTCGACATCATATTATAGGTGACAATCCGAATAGCAGTAAGTATCCTGTAAAAAATACCTTCCTGAGTGGTCCTCTGTTACACCTATTCATTTTTAGCATTCCTTCTGAAGGTATTAGCAAATGTGTCCTTATTTCACTTGAAGGCTGAAAGTTGGTATAAGGCAAGCATCACATGCTGAGCAATTCATTGAGTACTAGCCAAAAAAATGTTCTAACAGTCTGTGCGTGGTAGCAGATAATAGTATGGGAGTAATTCTTAAATTCATAGTTGACTTTATCACTGATAGCATCATGTCACCATAAACTAGAACATGATGGTTATGGCCTTTAAGTGACAGGATGTATATCACTATATTTTGACTTTTCTTCCCCCAGAAATATTTTTTGGCATTTTAACTTACTCCTTTTGTACTACAGCATGCTATATCAGCTGCTTGCCTTTTCAAAAAAGGGATGTGTCACATGCCATTGAATGAAATTAATCTTTTTGAGAAAGGTCTTCCTATAGCAAGCAAACCTTTGGAGAAGCAATGTAACTGAATAAAAATAGAAGAAGATAAAATGTCAGGAAGAGTTTACATTTCGTTGACAGGGGACTAACTATCAGTGCTTTGCAGAGTGAAGGGAACACAATAATAGTAATAAGAATTCATATAAGGGGGCACTTGATGTGCTCTATTAATATACAAGGTCAATTCACCAAAGCCAGAAATGTGATCACAGGTAAAGGCAAGAGCAATTTCATCCATATTCTGTAGAACACTAAATTATTTCCATTTCAAGCAGTTTCTGAATTCTGATTATCATTTTCAGCACAAGGATATTGTCTCTTTAGATAAACATAGAAGAATCCATCACTATCAAATTTGATCTCTGGTTCAAGACTGGAGGCAGTTGTAGATCTGTTAGTTGCAGACGTCTAAGTGAAAGTATTCCTTCAACTGAATGTCTGGTTGAAAAGTGTTTTATTTGTTTCAAAGTAAATATATATTTTTTTCATTTCACATTTTTTTCAATTGTGTTTTATTTTTATTCCATTTGTCTGTAAGTAGAGCAAAGTCATTATAGTTAGATTATAAGGAGACTGTGCTACACATAGTCATGTCCACGTGGATGTAATCTCACAGGCACAGGTAGCATCACCCAGAAGGATTACATAGATAAATCTGCTGTGCTACTTTCCAAATATATTGATCAGATTTCTTACTACTCATGTTGAAGGCATATTAAAGACTCATGTTGAGGAAGAGTGATGTCACCATTATTATTGCTATCGCTGCTCACTGGGTTACAGTTAACATGGACATGCTAATTATGTGCTAGTGCTCTACTATAAGCAGCACGTCATGTGTTGTAAACATATCCTTGTTAACAGCTACTTTGACTTTGCATGAACATACATCAGTAAGGATGTATCATGAGTGATTGTATGCTTGAAGGACCAACTTCTACAATTACTAAGTGCTTCTGCTAAACTAATGGCTACTAGATTCTGTTCTCTTCCATGAAAGACACAATAAGTTGTTGTATGACTGATTTGCTGTATACTAATTTTCAGGAGTAAAACATTCCCAACAATCCTCATGAAAATACATTTTAATTTTTAATAGTTTAAGCCACCAAAGCAGGAAATAAATATTTCCTAATCTACTCTTCTATACTTACTGGTAGAAGATTAGAATTTACCTTGTAGGAAAAATGAAAGTGAGATGTTCACTGTAGGTCAAATCCAATTAGTTAACATCTTTGGGGTGAATTTCCAGAAAGATGTAGATTATATTTTCAGGGAAGAAAAGGATAATTAATTTTTTAAAAGCTGTCATCTGGGGACATAGATAAGGTATTTTATATCACACACTGTAAGAAGGTATAGAATTCAAAGAAAAATGTCAGGTATAGTAATTATCTGGGTCAGTTGCTTGACTTTATAATGATCTTTTAAGCTGAAAGACAGTTTGCTATCAATTTGAGCTTAAATGCATCCAGTTACCAAAGGAAACTTTAGTTGTTTCAGAAAACATTAAAGGAGGCAAAAAGCAAGCCCCTAGTACTAAACAATGTATGTAGTTTAACCTTTGTACAGAAAAATGCAGATCCCATTTTATTAGAAAACATAGCAATCACAATTATTTTTTGAGACATACTCTGGGGCAAAAGATTGCAAGAACAAACTCCTTACCAATTCTGCTAAAATTCCATATTCCAGAATCCATGAGTTACATAAAATCTTTACAACACATATGTCAATCACCTAACCTGATGGACTTGTGTAGAGCCTTCTGCTGAAATACCTATGCAGGCATGTTCTCAGAGAGTGACCTCAGCTGTGTCTGTGGGAAATACAGAACCAGCTTTGGTTTAGAGAGGAGAATGAAGAAAATTGTGTCTTGGTTAAAACTCTTGCAAATGTCTACTCCAGCTCAGTGGTTGAAAACTTGCCTGTGAGAGCATGCTGAGCTTAATTTTAAAATTTAAATATTTTTTTTCCTGTCATCACATTAAGTTATCACTTTTATTCTACAATAAATATCAAAAGGGAGTTTCTGGTTGAGTTTGCATGCGTCACGATGTCTTGACACTTCTCTCAATTGCTATGAGAAGACTGAAATTCTACCAGATTTTTAATACCATGTTTCCCGTGGGGTAACTTTCAAAAATAGCTTGCAAAAATCCTTCTGGTTAGAATATTTGTCCAGGAAGTGAGAGATTGTGTTCTTGGCCTCCAGAAGCTGGGGGAATTCAAATCTGTTCCCATATTTACAAGCATATGCTAGGACAGACTGCCCAGGGAGGTTGTGGAGTCCCCTTCTCTGGAGATATTCAAGACCTGCCTGGATGCAGTCCTGAGTAATGTGCTCCACGGGACCCTGCTTTAGCAGGGGAGTTGGACTAGATCTCTATAGAGGTCCCTTACAACTCCGACAATTCTGTGATTCTGTGACATGATGACTGGATAAAAATAAAGATCAATCAAGAAATCAGGAATCAAAACTGCATACCTTCCACAGCAGTATGTAGGGCAAATCATCTCCCTAGTTATACTTTCTCTGGTCCAACAAAAGTTAGTTTGACTGCTATGCAATGGCTAAGCTCCAGTAGTGGTGAGAGAATGCCATTTTCTAGCCTAGACTAGAGGCTGCTGCAAGGGAATGCTCCTGGAAAGTGGGAGATGCTCCTGGAAAGTGGGAGATATTGCATGAATTCCTTTAGACTGAAGAAGAGCTGATTGCATGCTTTTGTGTCTTTATGTGAGCCTCCCCTTATTTCTTTAACCTTGCTTAGGGCAGTACCACCTTTGGGAAAAACACTGAAGTGAATGAAGCTTAGTCATCTTGCCAGGATTAGACACCTACTTTCTAAGCCAAAAAAAATGGCCCATCTGAAATAGGTAATCAGAATCTGCACCACATTAAGTTGATGACCACATTATATAAACCTGCTGCAGTTGAGAGAACAGTGAAGGGAATCTGTTTTCTCTTAGGAAGACATGGCACATGCAAAGGACATAGTTTGCTTATTTTAATTCTTTGAAGTGATCTGGCAAATGTAACTCTTTGCAATTGTAAGAGATTTAATAGAAAAATTATTTTGATGGAATCTGACAATTTGGGATTTTATTTCTTTCTCTTATGATACAAAGGAGTTTGTTTTAGCTGAGAGCTAATTTGTATACAGATTTCTTCTCATGGAGCAACTGTTTTAGTCATCACAAAAAGGAGCAAACAGAATAAATGGTATGCCCTGGAGTTCAACATGTAACATTATAGTTGTTTTATTTTTATATTTTATGATTGTTTTATTGAATGTCTCTTTCAAACAAGTGACTTTGAAATGAGAATTATCTCTGAGTCTTTGAGCAGATACCAAAGTGGATGATAGAATTGCAGAAAAGTGAGGGACAGATGCTTTCATCTGAAACAGACACAAATTCAGAAACTAATTTGGAAGTGATAAAAATTAATTTGCACACTTTAATTGGAATCAGACTCCTGCATGAAAGAAAGGAAGGGTAGGCAGCTTGTGCTAAAAGCTGATTGAATTTTTTGTCAGGTAAGTATGTTGGACTTGGCCGCTTATCCTCTTGAGCCTCTCTGTGCAATATATTACATTCACCCTCTGACTGGTGTTCTTTAAAAGGATCAATGCTATTCCTGTTTTGTCCCTAGAGCCTGAAATTTCATTGATCTTGGGACTTGACATTTCTCATTACTTATTGTAGCTTCCAGGAGGATGGTCACAAGATGTATTAGAGTTAACCCTGCTTTTTCTAATGGGGACTGTGCTGACCATTGGAAAAATATTGTGTCTATCTGCCCTAAACTGGGTTTGTTCAGCATTATAATATAGTTCTAAGAGGTGCTAACAATTCACCCAGTAAATGTATTCTGTATATATCTGAAAGGGAGGGTAAGCACTACCATAAAGGATCTTTGTCAAGTTAATCTGCTCTTTTTAGAAGGCAGTCATGTAGTATACTTTTCTTTGTTCCTTTTATAGAACATATTTTTTTTAAAGATGTAAAATTGCAAACATTGCAGGTTTTGCCAATTTGTATCTTTGAAGAGTAGTTATTCTGAACTCAGGATATTTACTTCTTCTTTTCTATCCCTCCACATTTAAATACCCTAGAACATCCCTAGTTTAACCTTGAAATGGCACTAATTTAAAATAGTCACCACTGTGTTCTGTCCCAGGTGATCTGGGTGGCTGTCTGAAGGTCCTGGGCAAGCACATTGACACACATGCAATCTGCTTTGCATGTATGAAGAGCTGTTACAGTACTTATACATTGGTACAATTTAGGCATTATTTTTTTGAAATTAAGTATCTTGGCACCATCTGACAGAGTAGAAGCTCTTTGTAAACCAGTGTGTAGTTTTTACTGGCACTGTCTCTGCTCTGGTAGCCAAAGACATCTCTCTCCTATGACTGCTAAGCAAAAGTCAATGACCCAATAATACACCTGAGTTAATGCAGCTATATCTAGCATTTCATCAGCATATGTGTGTGCCCACAGTTTGCTGCATATCCAGTCAGAACTGTACAGCACAAGGCAGTTCAGTGATTTGGCAAAGTTCTCAAAGCAATTGTTTTTTAAGAAATAGGAAGAGAAGCCACAAATTCTTAGTCTTCTCCACTCTGTTTTTCCTTTTGGAGTCTGGATAGTTGCAGGATACCTGAATGTCCACTGACACTGGTGAACTGTTTGTAGATACAGACAATACTGCTCATACTCCTCAACAAATAAATCAATCCTGCCAGAGGTGGCAATATTTTGAATATATTAATATTTTTCTGTCAATGATCTTTCTTTTACAATCATTGCTCCCTCATGTTGTGGATATAGTTATTTACTATTTTCTATTCTGAAATATTCCTATTTATTTGTTTAAGCCTTATCTTTTCATCAAACTCCAGAATTATTTTTTCTGACAGTAAAAATTCAAGAAGGCTGTTACATTTTCATTTCCATGAAAGCCATAGTTTTTTCTAAGTTTGTTGTTGTTTTGGTTTTGTTTGGGGGTTTGGGGTTTTTTGTTTGTTTGGTTGGTTTTGTTTGTTTGTTTATTTGTGGTTTTTTTCCAAATAGTATCCCTTAAAAGGTGTTAAAAGTAAATAGTAAAGTAAATTATTTTCCACAGATAATTCAGCTATAGCCTTGTAATTGCTTCTGTCAAAGTCAGAGATGAAATGCTAGAATTTGCCTTGTGTTCTTCTGTTTCTTTCTTTATACAGAAGACTTCTAGATGTGTCCCTATAGCAATCTGTATGTAATTCCTGGAAAGTGACAATGTGAGAGATATAGTTACAAAGGAGAACTGTTTGTTCTCTTTCTTTTCTTATTTTTTGTTTTTGTGGTTTTTGCCCCTTGCTATATGAGGACACCACTTCTTCCAGAAGATACTTACAACAGTATTAAGTGTTACATTTTTCAGAGAGAAGGGAAGATGTATTTTCTTTTAGACTTTGTAAAAAAATTTATTCATTTGTAAACACAACACAGATTTTTTTTTTCTTTCTGCTCTCTACTAATTTGGTTCAAAGGTTCTCCTTTGGGGAAATTACAGGGAGTTTACAGTGATGGTATCTAAGTTCATAGGTAGGATATTTTCACCTGCAATTCCCTCAGAGCTGCAGCCTTTGACCTCTGGCTGCATCTATCAGTGGTGATGTGACAGTGACAGAATATTTTGCTTGATTTGAGATGATTCCTGGAGTTCACAGCTTCTGTCCTCAGCAATAAAATGTAATGTGACTGAGGTTCTCTTCCCCATGCCACAGCTTTTCCTGTAGAAAGTATGACTGAATACATTTTTCTTTGAAGCCTAAGGAGAAAAATAATGTTTTCAATTACTGTTGGATTGCTACTCCTAATAATTGTATTCCATTATAAATCTGTATTTACTGAAAAACAGGGCTGGAAAAAAAAAAAATATGGAAAATTCTGAATATAGTTGAATTGCGTTTTCTTTTTCACTTTTCTGCTATGCACTTGGAGAAGAAAAAACTTCAGAAGGAGATGGGGTTCTCAACATCAACATCAATGGGGAAACTGAAAAATCTAAATCTCAAAATATAGTTAATCTTTGATGAGACACACAAATCATCTTTCCCTGTTTCTTCCAACTTCCATCCTTCCCTAGCAGTAAAACTCATATTTCAGTTTGCATCTTTGTTTTCCAGGCTAGAAAGATTAATTTCTTGCAGGCTAAATTAGAGATTTGGAAGCTAGGATTTATTGGGGTAGCTGTTTTCATTAGAGATAGGAAGGTGTTAATGTGCCTGTATGATGCAATGGCAAGACTAGCTAGACTGACCCACCCTGTGGTATTGGGTCCAAATCTGAAGTCTGTAAATTCATGGTTGGTAGTTCTCAGCTGGTCCTGAAAGATAGTGAAAAACATGGTGTTGTTATTAAAATTCTGATGACAGGAGATTTTAGGGTTTAACAAGAAATACTGTAGATTCAACCTATAATTTCAAGAGCTGTTTTTACATACAGTTCTAGCTACTCAAATTTTAAGAAAGAACTTGGAGCTATACAGGCACAGCATTATTACAATGACTAAAAACTAGCAAGCCTGTCAGTTCAAAGAAGTTTATAAGAGTTTTGTTTCTTTAATAGAGTCAAAAGGAAAGGCTGAGGGGGTTGATTTATTCTGTAAGCACCAGACTGGGGAAAACACAAGATAAGGAAATGACTTGAAGCTAAAGGACAGTGCTTACACACAAAGAGATACAAAGTAGACAGGAATAAATTCAGACTGAAAGTCAGAATATTTCTCTTCTTTAGAGTAGGAAAGGTCTGGAACTTCCAAGTAACATACTCAGGTAGCCATTTCACTAATTTATCAACAGTCTCATATCATGTGAGTGTCTGCAGTTAAAAAGACTAAATTAATTCACCCACAAAATCTATCCAAGCCTCCATTCCTAAAGCATGTATTTCAGGAATCCGTGCAATATTGTCTAGCTACTGCAGTAGTTTCCTTGTTAACTTTTTTTAGATTTTTGCTGGTTTTCCAGTTAGGAAACTTTATTTTATGGCAGGGTTGAAATGTGTGCAGGCATTCACCCATTGGACCTCACTGTGCCATTAGCTGCAAGATAAATTATTTTTCCACTGGACATCTTTTATGCCTGTGACTCCAACCTACAGTGGTCAAGTCACTGCTTTTCTTCCTGTGCAGTGAAGAGAGAAAACACTTTAAACACCGTGCAGCCTCCTCTTTTATTCTCTATATCAATTTTGTGACCTCTTTTACACTCATTTCTGTAAATGTGTGTACAAGACTTTAATCTTTTTCGTCTACAGTGGCAAGTTCTTGACTCCTATTTGCTATTCTAGGGTACTGTATTTTAAACGAGTTTTGCTTTCTGGCTCCATAAATCCTTCTCTGTATCACTGTCTTCCAGAACACTGTCTTCTCTCCAGTGAGCAGAACTTGTTCTTGTCCAGGAGAACCAACCATCCACCTTGTTGCATTCACAATAAATCAAATAAATAAAGCACATTTTTCTACCTTTTTATTTAGCTGGGCAATGCAGAGGCCATTATACTAGTGACTTTCTCTCTTCATTATACAGTTGTCCATGAATCTTTCAGTTTTATATACAGCCATATCATCTTTTCTTTTCTTTTCTTTTCTTTTTTCTTTTCTTTTTTTCTTTTCTTTTCTTTTCTTTTCTTTTTTCTTTTCTTTTTTTCTTTTCTTTTCTTTTCTTTTCTTTTTTCTTTTCTTTTTTTCTTTTCTTTTCTTTTCTTTTCTTTCTTCTTTTTTCCTGTAGGTAACATTGCTTAGTTTTTGGTTGAGAATTTCTGGTATCATAATATGTATCTCACAGTAATTTTATTCCTGTGGGCATAATTTTTAAGATCTGTAATTGAACCAGCTTCAGTGCCATCTTGTCCACAATCAGTTCCATATAAACCAGGCTGAAACCAAAACATTGTATTACTATGAAAACTATCTTGAAAAAAATACACAGAGGCCATTTTAGCATAGCCATCTTGATCAACTATACGTCACCCTGTCAAAAACAGATAAGAAGCTTGCTTGACAAGACTCCCATTCCAGTACAGCATGGTCACTGGCATTAATGAGAATTCTGCTTTCAATTCTTCATTGACAAAACTGTGGATTAACTATTTTGTTATTTTGCATAGGATTAATGTTACAGTAATTAATCAGTAGTTCCCTAGGCAATTTCTTTTATCCTTTTTTAAGTGTTTGAACTACACTGGAATAATTCCAGTGCTTTGGAATTACCCAATTTTTTATATTTCATTTGTACAAAGTAAATATAGCCAGATAAAATCACTGTTATCTAGCAAATTGCTGATTTTTTGTTACTGATAAACTTTTTTTGCCTGGCAAAGAAATATCAAATGCTGAGCAAATCTAACTGCTATGGGAGTCACTGCTACAATGTCAGCTTCTGTTATTATTAGAAACAACAGAAATCTTGTAAATTTTCATATAAATACTCCATAAATGCCCATTTGTTTGAACCCAAAATAAAATATATTTCATTCCTGAATACTAAAAGAAAAAAAAATAAAAATTAGGGAGTAGTCTATCCTACTCTTTAATAAATTACGTGATAAAAATGACAGTTACCCATAGTGTTACATGTAAACCATTTTCAGGTAGAATTTTAAGCACTCAGTGTGTCTCTGAATCAATAATGTCTATGCAACAGTAGTATCTTTCTAGTACAGTGCTGTTCCTCCACTCTTCCTCCCCCCAGTTTCAAGAAAAAAATATTATTATTAAAACAGGAGTGTCCTCAACTTGTAGTACTCTTTAGGTTCCTAGCAGAAGTCTAGAGACAGATATGTTTGATTAGAGCTACTTTTAATACCACTGCACTTTGTGTTCTTTAGCTGAAATATACTTTTTTCAGTATTTTTAGGTCATAAAGCAGCAGTCTGCTGTTATCCTGAGTGTATTGTAAACAGCATGCAGTCCGTAATCTCTAAACAAAAAAAGTTTACTTTCTGTTAAGGTATGTGTTAATGCATTGGGAAGCTGTGCTTATGAAACTTTGTATCAGAATTTATTTTACTCAAGACCCTAAGTATAACATACTTAAGCACACTGCACCTTTTTGATGCTTACTGATATAAGGCAAATTGCAGCCAAGTTCTTTTGTTGATAAAACAGGACTGCTTTGGCATTCCTCTGTTGTTTCCTTTTTTGTTTTTCCTGTGCTGTTGTTTTGTTTTGTTTTTTTAACAGGTGATTATCCAGCTCCTCGTGCTGTTCTAACTGGTCATGACCATGAAGTTGTCTGCGTGTCAGTCTGTGCAGAGCTGGGACTTGTTATTAGTGGTGCTAAAGGTCAGAATTGTTTTTATTCTTTTAATCTTAACATTTTTAGAGCCTTTTTAAGTGGTATTTCTCAGTCAGTCCTCAAGCCACTTCAATTTTCCAAAATCTCCTCTACTAAGATGTGCTGTAATTCTGGACAAATCTGCAGCTGTTTACTCTGAACAGTATTACTTATTACCTGGATTTAGGAGGTTTAGACAGAAATTAAGTTGATTGTTCCTTCCAACCCTCAGCCAGTGCAACTGTTCCCACCAGATCTAGAAGGATAGTTTATAAAAATATATACTTCATAAATATATCTACTGTTCTTGAAGAAACCTGTGGGTAGAGGCTTGTATTTAGGGAGGGCCAGCTTCAAGTGCTCCACCTTGATATTCATTGAACGGCAGCTTGTAGGACTGACCTCAGTTTCCTTTGCAAGAGAAGCAGGGTCAATTTGTCTGGGTTTGGATCTGTGGACAGCATTTCATCCAGTTGTTTTTCTGTAGTGGATTCCAAATATTGAGGAGTTTGCAGGTTTGTTGTTGCCTGTCTTTCTATCAAACTTTGAGCCACCTGTTTACACTTTCTCCCTGTTACTTATCTATGAGATCCAGAGTATCCAACAATTGCTAATACAAATGTTCAAAATACCTTTCCAAACCTGCAGCAGTCTCCTGTATAACTGGTAAATAAATATATATAATATATATATATAATAAGTATATATATGGTAATCAATGTAAATAAACCACCTACCTGAATGAGTGTTTGCTTCATATTTCCTTATTCTCTTTCTCCTTCATTTGTTGATTTCACATGTTCTGCCTGCCTTCTCCTTTACCCCATAATTCCATGTCTGCTTTTTTTTCCCCCCACTGTCCTCTCTTTTTCATCTTCTTCTCTTAATTTGGCAAACTGCATGTCTTATTCTCTTTTCTTTTCATATTTGACTCTCCCTCCTTCTCCTTCTCTCTTATTTCTTTTTGTGCTACATTATTACTTCTTCCTTCTTTAATTTTTTGGTTACCCCTGTCATTCCTAAAGGTTCTTTTTTCTTATAGCTCTTTCTATCTCATTTTCACTCCACTCCTACATCCACATTCAGATTTTTGCTTTCTCTGTCCACACTGATGCCTGTTCTGTTCATCCCCATGGATATCCTTGTACTCCTTTTTAAAAAGTTTGATGCTGGCTCAGGAAAAGAAGGATGTAGTACTTCTTCTGCCAGCTTTTGCTCACAGCTGAGCTCCTGAGTTATCACCTTCTATGCTGCCACAGAGCTCAACATTTTTTTTCAAAACTGAGTGTGAAACTTCTGCGTAAAGACAGTTTTGACTGGAAATCCTAATGGTTCATTAACTTTTGTAATGACATACTACATACCAGTCAGATTAATTCAGGACATTTATAAAAAAATGTACAGTGATGCTGAACCTAAAGTTTTTTCTTGCAGCATTGCTATTTCTTATCTTTTAAGGGGGCTTACATGCTGGTGTACAGGTGTACCTTTTCCAACTATCTTTTTGCAGATTTGCTCTTATTAAAACATCTGGAATCTGAACTTGGATATCTTCTGCTTCATTAAGCATATGATGCCTTGGTAACTTATGTATTTTTAGAGTAAAGGCTCCTGAAGGATCTTTTACATCAAATCCAGAATGTTTGTAATAGATCAGGAGAAGTGGAGGCCCAGAATATCCCCTGAATTACTCTTGTTGTGTTCTTCCTCTTCAAACTCTAGTCCATATATAAATGCAGAGAGAAAATCCCTTTTTGATTACTGCTATCCAGCAAATGCCTGTTTTAAAGATTCTTCTCTAGTATCTGTCCTTTCCAGTCCCTACCGAATTTCTTACATTGCATTTCATGGCAGTGCTGGGTTTTTATGCCCTCCCGCCTGAGCTCCCTTGTGGAGAAGCTGTCCCTCTGGAGCTGGCTGTGACACTGTGATAACACACGCAGCATGCCAGAGAACCTGCTGGGGCAGGAAGACAGCACACTCAGGGCTCCTCTGAGAAAAATTCTGTGCATCAGGTTGATATTTGCACAGTCATATCCAACAAACTCACCTTTACAGCGCTGTCCTAAATCAGATTTTCTTTGTGCCTTTTCATGTCCGTGACCAGTCAGCTGAGCCAATGTAGTGTTGGTTTGTCAGTGCACTGAAATACGAAAACATTACACTCTTCTTTTGAAAAATCTTATATGGTAATTACTCGAAAAGTGGAGGCATCACTTCTTACAACATCCTGACATTTCAGCATTTTCAGAGCTGAAACTCAACTATTTGAGAAAATAAATTAATTCCGTTTCAGTCATAGCCCATGGACAGTCAAGCTTGGGGTCTCTCTTCATAAAGCTTTATGCAAACTCAGATAAAATCCCATATCAGAGGGCTTGCAACTGAATGCATTGATGCTGTGATTCATTCTGCCTGGGAAAACCTAGGTGCTTTCAAAGAAGGTGGAAGGGCTTAATGTGAGGTGCCTGATACTGCCAGTGTGAATTTACTTTCAGGGTTGTGAACCAGTTGTATAAGGAAGAGATTAGTGTGCTGTCCAGGTGTATCCTGATTCATAAAAGAAAACATTTAGTATTTACAGTGAGTCATTACATTTATCAGAGACTCTCTTTCTAAGTAGGAATAGAGGCCTCACTTTCAAAAAAGCTTTTCTCATAGATCTTGAAATGGAAATAGCCTAGTTTTGCATCTTAAAATGTTCGTATTAGATTTCATAGGTTGTTATTTCTTTCATCTGCAGTAATAAGAAGACATTTAAATCTCATATTAAAATCTCTTGAAACTACAGCATAGTCTCCTGAAAGCCATTTTAGTCCAGGTATCATAGTAACTATTGGCTGTCAGATGACACCGCTTGTTAAAACAATTCAGGACTGAGATCTATGCATATAATACATTCATTGAGGGAGAGGACCTACAGAAACTGCCATTGTCTATGGGAGAAATATGCAGTGATATGATTATATGCCCTCAGCGAGTTGCTCTTACTAGTCACTGGTAGAGCCCCATCTATTTAATGTGAGTGGGCAGGCTAAAGAGAGTTCATGTTTTTTGAGAAAGACAGTAAGACGGAGGCTTCTGAATTCTTGGAAAGAGGAAAGAATATTTTAGAAGATAGATAAATGAGAACTCTTGCCAGTTTAAGTAAATAATAAACTACCACTTTCAGACATGTTGTATCTATTTTCTTAATATCCTAGCTCTTGCATTTCCTTTTCTGTTGCATATTTTAAGTCCTTTAAGCAAACATTGCATCTTATATCTCTAATGTGATATATATGTGTATTATGCATTGCTATTATGCACAGTGTATGTAGTTTGTATAAGCAGCATATATATGATATATTATGTTTTCATATACAGAAGGTCCTTGTCTGGTACACACAATTACTGGAGATTTGCTGAGAGCCCTGGAAGGAACAGAAAACTGCTTGTATCCTCGCTTAATTTCTGTATCTAGTGAAGGTCACTGCATCATCTACTATGAACGAGGACGGTTCTTTTGGTTCAGCAATTTCAGCATTAATGGCAAACTCTTAGCTCAGATGGAGATCAATGATTCAACCAGGGTAAACCTAAATGCAAACAAACATTTGCTGTGTCTCACCTTAATTTATTAAAATAAACTGAATTTATTTGCTGTGTGGTTTAAAGGAAATCACATGTAAAATTGCTGCCTCCTAGTTAAGTCATAATCAAACACAGATCCTGTCATCTCCACCTCCAAATTCAAAAATGCCCTAAATAAGAACAAAATTGTTTATGATTCCACATGATTCCTGGAATTTGTGTTTGGAATTAAACTTCAGTGTGAAATATATCTTTAAAACAAAATACTCTGAGAAGAGTCCATTCTTCATTTATTAGCCAAGACATGAATTTGTGCCTTCAGGGCTCTGCTCTGTCACTAGCACTTGAAGCAGCCTTAAGAATGCAGATCACTTCTCTGCTTTAGGTGTAAGTGGTGGCACTGAGTAGTGCAGGAGAAACATCAAAATGTTGTGCTCTGAACTCAAGTCTGGGCAGATTCAGTTAAATAACTTTTTTTTTGTTGTTGTTATATAACATATTTAAAACACATGATTGTTTTATTTAAAACTTGGAGATCCAAAATTTGCTGATTTATTTTTTTTATTAGAGAGAAATTAGAGGAGCTTTTTTCTTTAAACTGGGTGGAGCCAAAGAAATGCTTATGTTTGTTAAATTTTTGTAATATTGACCTATTTTCATAAAGCTAACTGCATGCTCATATTTTGTCTTTCTCTCCTGAAGGCCATCCTCCTGAGCAGTGATGGGCAGAACCTGGTGACAGGGGGAGACAATGGTGTAGTGGAGGTATGGCAGGCCTGTGACTTCAAGCAGCTCTATATTTACCCTGGCTGTGATGCTGGCATAAGAGCAATGGATCTGTCTCATGATCAGAGGTGAGTTTGTTAATATTTGTATTAAAATGGTAAAATTACACAAAGTATACATCTCCGTGAACTTTAAGGCATGAATTTATGGTAGGCACTTGTTAAAAGTATATGGTACAAAACTGATGCTCAAGTCACCTAGTGCAAGCACTTAACATTAAGGTGAGGTTTTATATTATTGAAGTCAGTAAGCTAGGGACTGAACTAACAAAATATGATTAAAAGTACATTAACGTAAGAAGATAGGAAGTGTCAGGCTGGATCAGAGCGCAGTAGTGCCTACTAACCACTGCCTTAAATAAAATTAGTTTGTGGTACATTTCTGATTTTCAGCTATGTAGAACTTTAGAACTTCTTGGGGTTGCATCTAGACTATAATGTGAAATACTGTCAGTGGGTCTATCCACCAGGAGTGATTGTAGTCCTTTCCTTTGGCCTTTTTAAACAATGGAAATGCAGTGTATAGGCCTATAATTTTGCTGTGGCACTAAACTACACACAGTAAATATAAAAGATATATGAACCTGGTTCATCAGTCTTCAATCATAAAGTGATTATAAGACTCTATGTTGCATTTATGCAGGGTAATGAGTGGATTTGCTGTTTACATCATGCATCAGTCTTGTATTTCCTGTTAATATATAAAATCATGAGATGCAAAGAATTCATAGGATATTATAAAAATCCTACAACATTCATTTCAGTTTGTTTTCCTTGCATATTCCAGCATTCCTATGTGTTGTACCCATTTTGTAAAGCAAGAAAAACACCTATAAACAAAACATGCACCTAATTTACTGATGTAAGAGTAGACAACTTGAAACAAGTTTTTTGTTCCAAGTGAGTCTAATTGAAACTAACTTTCTGGAAGAGGCCTGTTTGCTTCTGGAGCTTTGCCAGTTTATGCAAACAGTACTGTGTTCTGTTTGAAGAGATTTATTTACACTGCAAAAAAATTTAAGCTAGTGCCTTTTCTCTGTTCGCTGGGGAGCTCTGGCTGTGCAAAGTGCTTTAAGTACCTGCTTAGCTTTACTCACATTCTTAAGCAGAGAATGGCTTTTGTATGGTTTGAGAGAGGTGGTGATAGGTATCTAATCCAATTTTTAAACCCAGCTATTAGAATTAGACAATATGTGATAACTGGAAAGTCACCTCAACTGTTGCCACTGGAACAATGTACATATGAGGCTACATTCCAACACAAGGCTTTTTTAGGAGTACCAAGGTGTGATTGGCTTATGATTAAGGGATCAGTTCAGCTGTTTTGTTAGAGGCATCTCATTCTGTCTGGAAGGTCTTAGGATATCCAGCCAATCCCAGTTGCAGCCCCAAGTGCAGAGCATTCTGCAGGTCCTGTGTCCCAGCTGCCAGCCAGTATACACATATCAGCCATCCTGGACACCTCCAGTGTAACAAGATGCCTAACATTAGTCAGCTGGATTCTGAAACACCTGAATGAAGGTGTTCTGGCATAGGGGTCTTCATGCAAGCTACAGAAATAAGCTCTTGTAATAACAATACTGATTTACTTCCTGCAGTCTGTGGAGTCTGAAGGACAGCTAAGGTTACTGTACAGTATTGTTGAGTGACCTGTAGAGAGTTGGTCTCAGGCTGCTCTGAGGGTCCTGAGTAAGTATTAATTTGGTTGGCTACCCTTAGAGAGTTAGTGCTCTTTCAGTTACCTCAGAGGTCTGAGGTATGTACCTGAGGTGGCAGATGTGACAAAGCACCTGGTGAAGACACACACTTCAGGAGATGGAGCTGGAAACAAAGCAGGATACGCAAGAGCATTTCAAATTACGCCTTTACCTCTGTGAAGGTGACTGATTGGACCACGAGATCTCACTTGACCATAACGACATCATGGAAATGTGGCTCATATTTTGACACTTGAATGTTGCATCTCTATTGCAAACTGAATCTCACCTGTGAGCCTTATCTTCAGAAAGTGTTGCAAAATGTGCCTCATTCTCTTAGCTTTTTTTATTGTTTATGGTAGAACATCATTTGGGAAGGTAAAAGAGGGTTAACAGGACCACCTTTTCTATCTTTTTTTTCAGAACTCTCATTACTGGCATGGCTTCTGGCAGCATTGTAGCTTTTAATATAGATTTTAACCGGTGGCATTATGAACATCAGAACAGATACTGAAGTGGAATGAAGAACTGAAAGCCCAGGTAAAGCTGAGAGCACAAGTGCTGCAATGAAAGGTGTAGTCTCTGGTGGTAAACCACGTCTGCATTGACCTCCGTTGTACATTCCATTACACCCAGCAATAGCTGTACATTGTAGTCAGCAACCATTTTACTTTGTGTGTTTTTTCACAACTGAACACCAGCTGCTGAAAAGCAAGCTTGTTTCATGTAAATTATATGAATTAGGAGATGTTTTGGTAATTATTTCATATATCTTTGTTTATTGAGAAAAGGTAGTAGGATGAGCCAAAAGAGACTTTTGAAAATTCTGGGGAACCTTGTGTCTGTTTGTTCCAATGTTTAGGCTTTGAACCTAACATGCATCCCATCTCCAGCCTCTTTTCAAGCTGAGATAAAAAAATACGTTTGATACTTTGTACATCAGATGCACATCTTAACTTTAAAGGGATACTTTTGTAAAAGTAAAACCTTGTATAAAGAACAAAACTGTTTCTTAATTTTATTGTGGAGTTACAACTTGCATGTACTTTAAACCTGATGTCTTGAAGGAACAGGTGCGTTCACACAAATCGAACTGGAGATCTGTATAAAGGTACAGCTTGTGTTAAAGGGTTGAATTTGGGTGCAAACAGTAATTTTTACATTTCCAGCAACACATGTTTTTCACTTTTCGAATCTCAACTTTACCCCTCTTAAGTGGAGTTCTGCTCATGAAGCATTTGGATAAAAAGCCATCATCTGCCATATTTATACAATACAAATTAAATTCCTCCCTTTTGAATTCAAAGACTAGACAGAAAGGGAGCAAAGAGGAAAGTTCATTTTAATGTTTTGTAATTCTTAATGACTCCCAATACAGACAACGTGCTATACTTATGGATTATTAACATTTAGCATACAAACCATGGGTGAGAGCCCCCAGTAATTTATTGTTTTCCCCTTACTTTTCCTCTGAGCAGATTAGTTTATTTGACAGCCTTAGCTTCATTGTGAAGGTGACTGAGGTTATTCTTTTTGGTTCTTCTGAAAATCTCACCTGAAGCCACTCAGACTAAGGCACTTCATATTTTACAATACTGTAATTATAACTATTGGAATAATTTTCTGCACATTGTACTGATCAAATTACACACCCAGGGGTATATACACTTTAATTCATGTTTCTTCTTTGTATATTTGGTGACTGTATTGTCATAGATGTACATATTGTGTCGGTAGGGCTATGAGGCATGTAACAGGAATGTAATTTTCTCAGAATTTACACTCACTTGCAGTCATTTATTTAAAAAGATAATGGATTCTTTGTATTGGCACTTTGCACCAGAAACATATCATTATTTATTGATGTGATTACTTATTTGTTACCCACCTTGTATTAGTAAGTTTAGCACTGAATTTCCTTCTTCATTGTTGTTTGTATTTATAAGATTCCAAAATCACAGGGATCAACGTAATGATTAAGTTATTCATCACCCGTCTGTAAGCAATATCCTGAGTTTGTAGCTTAGAATTGGGAGACTATTGAACATCTGGAAGACAAGTTCATTTCATCTTGAGATCATGGTGAAATATTTTGGATATATAAATTCCTTAAGCTATTGTAACCATGTTTTATTGCAAAGATGTAAAATATGCCAGATGTGTGTGAGTTGGAAATCAAAAAGAAAAATAAAATATGCAAAGAATTCAGTGATTGTTTTTCATTTCAATGAACTTTTCATCAGAACAGTCACATTATCATTAGGAACAAACAATTGTTTTAAGAAATCCTCTCTTATATACTATGCATATGCCAAAAATAATGTATGCCTGGGTGGCTGTGTTTCCTGAGGTCTCAGGAAATAAAACAGAGGTTATAGAGTGTGTTTTACAACTCTCTTGATTGCCAGTACATGAAGAGAAGCCACTAGAGATACTTTGATCAGCAGAAGTGAAAAATCAAAGCCTTTAAGGGGTATTTTGGCTACTTGTGAACACATAATAATATTGTGCAATAGACCTCACAGGAAGCAAAAATCTGATGAGAGCCGTTTTGGGTATTTCTCAATATCAGATAAGATAGAAGTAATTTAATTTTATTTTAGGCATTGAAAGTTAGGTGTTTACACTCCCTGCATAACAGAATAGAACAAGTGGGATTAATTGCCTTTTGGAAATGCTGAGGTCCCTAGATCATAGCAAGGAAGTGGAGATGGATAGTTATCTGAATGGCAGATACCTAATTTAAGGTAGCAATGGTAAGCAAAATACTTTCCTCATTATTAGAAAAATTCCAGTTGACTTCAACAGAATAACAGCCAATACTTCAGTTTGTTGCCCCACTCATTGCCTTTACATTTAGAAGGATTGTTCTTGAAATAATTATCAAAATTAACCATAGCAAACACTGGAAACATTAGAATACAGTGTACATTTTAGCAAATATCTGTTTATATCAATCAACTTTTGAGGTGAGTAGCTTGTCTTGATTGGCTTGAGGCTGGAGGAGAGATGGGGTAGAAGATGAGAGGATTGGTATGCAAATAGTGGACTGTGCAATTATTTTATTGATATGCCACAACCACCATTTCAGTAGTATACAAATACCACCCTTAATTTCAAATTTGATTCAACAAATTTATTTTAAAAAATGCACCATTGTGGTTAAGCAAAAAATAAATATGACTATTATGGAAGATGAAGCTCTCTTAATCAAACCAGTTCAATGGCACTAATCTCTTGGCTAAGGGACATGCAGCATTAAGCATACAACCATTCAACTAAAATATAACTGCAGTGAAAATACCGCACAGCTATTATCTGCATCCCTGCCAGTCAGTCTTATATTAAGAATTGGACTATAAGCTACTGCCATGCTGGGAGGACGAGGCAACAGCTATGAGGCTTATTCCTTGTCCAGATCCTACCACTGTTGAGGATGCTGCTGCTTTCTCTACAAGAACAACGATAAAAGAAAGGCTGCTGCATTTTACTCCAGAGGAAAAACTAATTAGGCTCAATTTACTGGAAGAGTCTCAGATAAATAATTATTATGTTGATGGAGAATCTCACAGATTGTGCTTGTAGAGCTAAAAATGCTGCCTGTGAACAGTAGTTGTGGTGAATGCTTGTTGTAATTTAGTGCATCAGCCCTGCTGACAAGCAAGCAGGGTGTTTGAAGCAAGCCTCGTGCTGCCAGGGATAAAAACGTTTGAAGCAAGCACAGAGAGTGAAGGGCTGACTTCTGCTAACAGCAGGTGAATCACCTTGATACAAGATGTCTAGCACATATAAATATTTTATTTGGAGACTTCTAGCTGGAGTTTATGCTCACATTTTCCAAGAGTTTCATTGCAAACTGTTTTTTTTAGGCTTTTGTGAGTGTGTGTGTTGCTTGCAAATACTAAAAATTAATCTACTAAAACATGAGCTAGTATTTAAAGTTAGAAATAAGTACTGGAAATTTATATGTCTATGCAATACAGTACAATTTATAGACTCTCGAACTCCAGTGATTAGTTTTGCAACATCTACAGTTATGTTTCAGAATCTGCAACTGACAAGAAAAACATGTCTGGAGATTGCTTTCTTGTGAAATTTATAAACTGTGACCAGATAATTGGTTTACAGAGGGATTTATGTAGATGAAAACCTGCCAAACAGCTAACTCAGATTATAGGTCCCTCTATGGTGACATCATGCCTAAACAGCACTACAACTCTGCATCAGTAGTTATAAGTAAATCCCCTCTCAATTGCACCCTATTTGCACTAACCAGGACCTGGGTAACTAACATGGGTACCTAAGTGCAAAGTTCAAAGCCTGAAGTGCTTTTCATTCATGAAAGGAGTGGCATGAGGGCTCTGTGTGCCTAAAGGTGCCACAATGCCAAGCTGCCCTCTGCCTATATTCCTAACATGGAATAGAGAATATGCTATTATCTGCAAAACTAGACAGGAAAAAAAAAAATATTCTCTGGTGCCAGAGGATTACAGAGAGCTAAAAGCTGTTAACACCAGTGGATTTGACTTAAAAGTTTCATGTCTCTTTATACTTTGAAGAGACAGTCTTGGCAGGATGCTGCAATGATCAAGCCCTGTGGTAAAGTCAATCCTTGTATCATATCTGTGCAAGTTTAAAAATTATGCACTTAGTTTCCCTCACTGTGCAGCAGAACTAGTGATTGCCAGAAAAGGCAGAACAATTTAAAGTGGGCTTTCAGTCTCACTGTACAGCTGTAGATACAAAATCCAGTGTCCATGGCTGTTCAGATAGATTCAGATAGTTAGTTTGCACAGAGCTATGAAACAAGAAATAAAATAGTGTGTGGTAGTCAGTGTTCCTGCACACACAGGTTTTCAAATAATAAAAATGGAAAAAAAGACACTGCTTTATTAGGAAGGCAGAAGTACCCTGGAGAGGGGGCCAGAAGGAGCGTCTTAGAGAAACATCAGAGATGGACGGATTTCCTCTTCAACAAAACACTCGGTCCGTTTCTTCCAAATAGGCATGAACAGTTTGTTTGAGCTCCACTCTTGCAATGTCCCTTTTCTCTCACTTTTGTCTAAACCCTTCTGTTCTCCTTGTTTTAACTTGCCATGAAAAGCAGGCTGTAAGTTGGGTTTTCCTCTCCTGCAACCATGTTCCTCCTGGTACCCATCACGTACCCACACTCTTCCAAACTGCCAGGGAGAACTAAAGCTGACTCTGCAAAAAAGCATATACATGGGATGTTCCAAAAGGCCCATAGAAATCTCTTATCCAGGCTTCTTGCTGTCCTAGTGTGAGTTGCAGGAGATAAAAACCTGAAATGAAAAGAGCAGCCTATCTTTCGTTTGTCTTTTTGAGGAGAACCAATGACCCTGTGGGAGTATTATTCTCCTAGTAATTAACATAGGTCAGAGCACCTCTCTGACCCAAAAGCAGGTGGCATGAAAACTCTTAGCCGTACCTCCAGACTCTCTGGGACCAGCCCTTAAACCATGCTGGTCCACACACACTGCAGGGTGTTCCTCAGAGAGTGAAAGGTGAAATGTGTGCCAGTGACACCGTGTAGATGAGCACAGCACAGTGCCCAAGCCTGCACTGTCAGTATAGAAACAGCCAAGGCACCTACAAGGGGTCCCTTGAGCTCCATGATCATCAGCCCATCAACCCTGTCACATAGTCATGACAGATGAGGCTTAGGGCTCAGTAACAAATCCCAGCCACAAGTCTATACACAAGACTGCTCTATACTATTTCAACACTACACCCTAACATTTAGACACTAGGAAGAAATTCTTCACTGTGAGGGTGGTAAGACACTGGAACAGGTTGCCCAGGGAAGTTGTGGAAGCCCTGTCCCTGGAAGTGTTCAAGTGCGGGTTAGATGGGGCTCTGAGCAACCTGATCTAGTGGGAAGTGTTCCTGTCCACACAGTGGGGTTGGAACTAGATTTTTAAAGTCCATTCCAACTCAAACCATTCTATGATTCTATTATTCTAAGCCTACAGCTGCTGGACCACTGACTGCAGCTATTGCAATATGAAATGTGCTCACATTGTTAAGACCTTAGTGCTTTCTGGTATGCTCAGACTCATGTGCCTCTTGCTTGCTGCCTTATGTATACCTGTACATGAAGGAACAGCAATATTGACTGGAAACAGCTTCTGCTCACGCTCTAGCCTTCAAGAAGTACATGGTCAGGGCTTCTCCTTTGCAATTCGTTCATAAAGCTCATTGATGCCAGCTTCAGGTCCATGAAAATGGACATGTTAGGAAGAGGTAATGGGCTACCATCACCACTACTATAGCTTTCTTTCTTGTCCACTGCTCATTGCAGAGGCTTATGCCCTGATTTAGAAAGTGTCTCAACAGTAAGATGTTATCTTGTAGGAGATAAACCTGCTAGCTAGACACCTACTGCAACACTTACAAATATAAAGTGGGAAGGATTCCGCTGGGACAGAAAACTTCAGACATGTAATGAATTAATATGGACCACGTGCAGGAGCTAGCTAGCAGATAGCATACTCACATTCACCTCATTCCATGTAGGCTGGGATTAGTGCTGATCTTTTTCCTTTGATGGATGATCTGGTCAGTCAGGAGTACCTGCTGATTTCCATGACAGTTCAAAATGAATGTGATGAGGCAACACATACACAACAAGAGAGCTCAAGGTTTTCTGCAGAGTGCAATCTGTTAATTGAGGGAGGGGTGAAAGGATGGGTTATGAATGTGCATAAGGCTAAAAAATTGGGGGAAAAAAACCCCCAAAATTATTCTTCAAAGTACTTTGCCTATAGCTACATCTTCACCCTACTGCTCAACCCCTTTCTCCCAAGTGTCTCCTTGTTTCTAGGGTTCCTGAGATCCCCTTTGTCACCATTTGTTTGCCAGGAGAAGAAAGGGACCCCCGTGCCTTTCAGATGCACTTACAGCTCAAATGCTCATGCATGCATGTGTGTGCAAAGCAGCTCACTTATGGATCAGCCTTTTTACTACTTTGGGAACTTTGTAGCAAAAAACAGGCCAAACCAAAACAAAGCAAGTATTAAATCACAAGATTAGATTGCATCAAGGAGGAAAAAGAGAACAGTGGACTTTTCAGACAGGAAATACAGCACGGACCTGGGCTGAGGGAGAAACTAGAAGCCCAAGACCAAGTCAATCTTTTTTCTTATTTAAGGCAAACACTTGAAAAGAAATATTGCATCTCC